TGAAGCCTCTGCAAATTGTTATGACGAATGTGCGCGACTATCTGGCGAGAGCCGCATTGTCAAAAAGAGCCGTATTCCATTCGTGGACCTGGCGAACTTTCAAGACGAATGTGCGCGGCGTTTGCTCAGGCGGGAGCCGCATTTTGAAAACCACCCGCCGTCCATCTTTCATTCGTTTGCAGTCTTTTTAGGCGAATGAATGTCCACGGCGCTAATGCGAGAACCACATTTTGAAAGCGGCCCGCCCTCCATCCTCGACAGCGCGGAGCCACTTATAAGGCAAAGGGGTGGAGGAAGAGGGTGCTGAGAATCGCACGTAGTGGAGGCACACAACGAACGCCGTTCAGTTTATTCGGACACCTCACATCATTCCTCAAGCTTCTAGTTGATTGATGCCCCGGCCTGATTCGAAACTTGCACCTCGTAAATTCTACAGGCAGGCGCTATGATATCATATACTGAAGAGGACCCAGCACGCTACGACACCCGAGGAGTTGATGCGAGAGCTTGACGAGTCGACGTTGGATCGGATTTGGGCTCGGAAGCCAGCGCCGCAAACACTCGAAGGTCTTGCCCAGCAGCCTCCTCTTCCGAGCCAAATGCAGTTCACATGCTGACATTGGTTGCGTCCGGGGCCTCAGGTGAGGAACTGATTGTTGGTATTATTGTTTTGCGCCTCCTGTATTCCCTTGTCATATTTCCCCATCCCCTCTTCCGTCCAGGGGTGGTCTGAATTCGAAGCGTCGTAACTCCAGATAGTATGGTTGGTGCCGCAGGCACCCCCACACAGTTTTCCCTGCTATGGGGGTGTTTCTTCGGGCTAGAAGGGGGTTTCTCCCTCCAGCGGGGGCCTTTTCAGAAATGAATGTAGTCTGTGCTTCTTAGATGTGTCGGTTATGTGGAAGTGGGGGCCTGTTCTGCGCGCCGCTTACTTTGAACTCGCATATTGGGGGTTCGAATCAGATGGTCCGGTGGACCGCCAGTAGGCTCCAAGGCGTGCCCACGGGCGCATGGTGTGGACCGTTCATGGTATCATATTGGAAGACGCGGGCCTGGCCAGCCAATTGGACAGCTGGCTACCAGCGTGGGCTGGGCGGCTGGAGGGCCCCAGCTCCGCAAGGGCAGCGTCGCTCGCGAAGCCGTCATGTCCAGCGTGCGACGTGCTGGGCGGGCGGCCTGGCGGCCCAGCACCCCCCGTTTCGGCGACCAGAAGGGGGGCTTCGGCCGCCAAGCCCCGAGGCGAGGCGTCCCTTTTCCCTGTCGGGCTGGCTGGTGGAAAGGGTCGTGGGCCTGGACCGCCGCCCGTTCAGAATGCAAGTGGCAAGGGGTGCGGTACGAGGAAGGCGCCGCCGCCGGGCAGGCCGCCCCCTCGCAGGGGGCGGCAGCGGCCACGGCCCGGCCAGGCCCCTGCCCCCCGGGGCGGGGCGGCAGTGGCCCAGAGGACGAGATGGTGCCGGCCGGGAGTTGGCAGGCGCAGGTCCCGAATGGGCGTTGGGCTGGGCCCAGCTGGCCCCAGGGCATGCCCCGCCACTGGACGAACTCCCCCAAAACGTGGACGCTTCCCCGCCCCAGTGCCGATGGGCAGCTGGAGCTACAGGCGCTGCGCTTGGGAGCTCCGTGGATTTGGGTGAAGGTTCAGTTCGCCGAGTCGACCAGCTCCGCTCGCCACCGACTGGGGCTGGATAGGGCAAGCGGTGGACGGCCTGGAGGTTCGATCTTGCCCATGGTGTGCGCTTCTTGATGTGGGCGATGATCACCTTCCTCTTCGGGGCGCTCGCGCACTGCATCAACGCTGTGCCGGTGCCCCTCCCCACCCCCTCGCGGGTAGGTCGGGGCTCCCGCTGGGCCTGGCGCTAGCTCGCGCAGTGCCGCGGGCGAGAGCTCCCAGGCCCCGCCGCGCACGTGCCCGCCCCACCTCCACTTCCGCGCGCCCGCTGGCGAGGACCAGGGGTCAGCGGCGAGACGGAAGCCGCCCGGCGCCAGAAGGGCGCGCGAGGCCGCGGCGCCAGGCGCGACAGGCGCAAGGCACCGTGGGTCTCGCTTCTTCCAGTTGAAGTCCGGCGGCGCGCACAGAGGGGAATGCTGAGGGGTCGGGCCTCCCCAGAACGCTAGGAAGGCTCCGATATGTGGCCAAGGCTCGCCTTGGCCAGGAAAAGCCAGCCGTTCTTTTTATGCGTTCCGTTTGGCAACGCGAATAGCGTGCACGCATGGCGTTGCCGCAAGGGAATCCCACGTCGCAGTGAACGCGCATGCAACCCCAGTGGCGCCGGTTTCGCCCCCTATCTTGTTCCGATTCAAGCGTCAACCTCAGCCAAGGCCCCGCCTGCGACAGTGGCGGGTTTGCCTTTTCATCCGTACATCGCGGTAGCGATCGTGCTTCGGGCCACCATATTCTTCTGAGCAACAAAGCTCGGGCACAGGCAGACAACGCGCAATATCCATCGCATGCTACTCATCAGTGTTCAGCAAGTATTCTGACGACGTCGCACGCGAATAGAGGCGCACAGGGCGCGCTGCGTCATCTGGAATCGCGAGACATGCTGGTTCCCAGGAAGAGTGAACGCGGAAGGTGTCGACGTCTTCGCCATGCGGCGAATAGTGGGCGCCGCTCATGTGCCGCGCGTAGCCCAGAACACTGGTGGGATGTTTCCACGTGCGTGGAGGAGTTCGAGCGCGCAGCGGCTAGGCACGCACAGTCTGTCGAGTCATGTCTGCGTCTGCTTGGGCGGGCAAGGTTTCGCCCATTTGCGCAGTCGCGATGCGCCGTCGCGCAGCCCGCAGCGCCGTCGACCGCGACGACTCCCCCCGTCGTTGCGATCATGCGGATGCGCGGGCTAGGTCGACCCCATGCTGCCTTTAAAAGGTCGATGCGTTGCCCTTGGTCGGGGCGCGCCTCTCGCCTTGCGGGGGGTCGCTGGTCGGTCATCCGAGGCGCCGCGGGCGCGCAGGCGGAGGCGTTCCACGCGCGGCTTTCCCCATTCATCCCCCGCCTTCTGTCGAAGCTCGCGATTTCAGCGCGCGACAAGATGCTCCTGACGTGTTTCGTTCTAAACATAAGTTTGCGGCCGCGCAAGAGCCGGGCGGCCGCTGGCGAGCTCGCGCGCCCCGGTCGCTGGGGCCCTGCCATCCACCCCGCCCCCCCCCCCCCCCTTCGTTCGCCCCGGCAGAGGTGGCCGCCGAATGCGGGGCCCAGGCTTTGAAGAGCCCCGACAATTATGTCATTATGTCGATATGTATATATATATATGTGTATATATGTGTATATATACATATATACACACGTAATTAGATATATAGGTACATCGATATATATATATATATATATATATACTTATATACAGGTAGATGTCCCGACGGTGGCCCCGATGGCTGCCCCGACGGTTGCCCCGATGGTTGCCCCGACGGTTGCCCCGTTGGTTGCCCCGATATTTGTGTGCATATATATTAATTCCCGGTCTGGTGTGTATTAGCACGGTGTTGCAGGAGTAATGGTGTGAGCTATGTCCCGGGAGTGGCTGTCTGTTGCAGAGTGCAGAGTAGGCTCACGAGAAGCGTCTCGATAGGAATCGTGATCCGTAGGCCATTTGGGCCCGAGGGAGCTCGCGCGCTTCTTGAAAGATCATCGATCCACAAAGGGATATTCAATCTTCATGGTAGCGCGAAGCTGGACTCCTGGCGCGTGAGAGTCGGACGGAGGAGTCCGGCGCGAGGGCGGCCTACAATGCCCTCAACAGCCTTAACCAGGTGGTGAAGGAGTCCGGACAACATGGAGCAGGTTGTCCAGCAGTTGCAGGGGCAGGTCGCGCAGCTGACGCAGCAGCTGCTCGCGATCCAACAACAACAACCAGTTGGAGCAGAAATGGCGGACGCGGTGGCCGCCATCAAGGAGCTGGCCCAGGCCCAGGCGCAGCGCGAGAGGCCGACGCTGGTGGACACGAGGGGCCTGGGCAGACCCAAGGTCTTCAACAACAAGGAAGACGAGTTTCAGAGTTGGGCGCAGAAGGCAGAATCCTTCTTCAGCGGCGTGTTCCCAGAGGCGGAGCGCCTTCTAGAGTGGAGTGCGGATCAAGCGACGCGGATGTGATCACGGCCGAGTTCGGAGAGGACCAGATTGATCCGGACAAGAGGATCCCGCAGTTGGAGGCGATCGGCCACCAGCTGTACACGGCTCTGATGCAGCTGACGGAGGGCGAGTCGCTGAGCATCTTGAAGAATTCAAAGAAGAGTCCCTACGAGGCTTGGCGCCGACTTCAGAAGCGGTTTGATCCCGCGACGGGAGGCCGCAAGAGGAATCTCCTCCGGACGATCTTGAATCCGGGGAGGAGCAAGACCGACGATCTGCAGGCGTCGATCGAGCGCTGGGAGAAATTTGTCTCTCGGTGCGAGAAGAAAGTTGGCCACGTCATGGATGACGAGCTGAAGCTCGCCGGGTTCGAGGCGTTGGTGCCAGAAGAGTTGGAGAAGCACTTCATCATGAATGATAACAGGTTGCAGACTTACGACCAGGCGAGGCTCGAGGTGGTCACCTACGTGGAGGCGAAGACCTGACTTCGCATCAGGGACAAGAAGCCGAGCGACAACCAGGCTAGCGACCTGGACGCGATGGACACCTCGGCAATGCATCAACTCGTTGAAGGGCAAGAAAGGGCCAAAGGGAGGCTGCTACAACTGCGGCGGCAACCACTTCGCGAGGGGCTGCAAGAAGGGGAAGTCCAGCCAGGGCAAGGATCCCAAAGTTCGAGGCCGTGGAGGTTGGAGCGGAGGAGCTGCTGCTCCATCGCCCAAGGGAGGACAAGGCGGCGGCAAGGGCGACGGCAAGACCGACAACAAGGGCAAGGGCAAGAAGGGCGACAAGAGCGGCAAGAAAGGTACTCCGGCTCGACGCCCTCATGCCAGCGGTCTTGATAACGACGCCAACGCAGGAGGAGAGTCGTGGCCGCCACCGCCCGAACCATGGCAGGAGGAGCAAAGCTGGGACGAAGGAGGCTGGGCCGGAGAAGGTGTTTGGTCAATGGGAGCTTTGACCTTGGGCAGCTTCGAGGAGTGGAAGCCCGAGGCGCCGAAGGACATCTGCGCGATCGAGGGCAGCGGGTACGAGTGGGTCAAGATGAACCTGGACTCGGGTGCTGGGGTGACCTCGTTCCCGCTGGGCTTCGGGCCGGAGAGCTCGGGCAATGGCAGCCTGTGCAAGACGGCGAGCGGCGAGTGCATTCCAGATGGCGGGCCCTGGATTCCCTCGGCTACGACGAGAATGGCCGTTGGCGATCTTTGAAAGGCCGGCTCAGTGGAGTCCACAATGTGCTGTGCTCCGCGGGCAAGATGGCGACGAATGGCCGGCAGAACTTCTACATGACAGCGGATGGCTGCTGGATCATCCCGAAGGACTCGAAGATTGGCCAGGAGATCGATAAGGCCATCATGAAGTGCATCAACTGGTACGGCAGCAGCGACCTGATTCCCCTGTACTTGGAGGACCAGGTGTACAACTTCTACATGCAGAAGGAGATTTCGGCGACCACCGTCAAGACCGAGAAGACCGAGCAGGGGAGCTCGAGCCAGGGAAACGGCTCGGGCAGGGCGCCGTCGCGCCCGTAAGTCCATGGGAGGACGCCGCGATGGGGGACCCGGGCCCATCTGCGGCGGATGCTGCACCGGGCGGCGGTGAGATTCCGCCAGGAGGTCCTGCCCAGGAGGAGGCGGGCAAGGACGAGGAGGAAGCCGAGGCACAAGAGGCACCCCGTCGAAGACATCCCAGGATGCCCACGGCGAGAGAAGTCGAGGAGGATGAAGACCAGGCTCACGCAGTTTTTCGATCTTGGTGCAAGGCACGCTGCGGAGGACGAGGATTGGGTGCACAACATCGCAAGGAGTTCGATTTGGACCCGGAGTCTGGCGAGGTCCGGGTGCCGATCGTGGCCTTCGACTACGGCTTCATGACGCAGGAAGGTGCAGACGCATATCCGATCTTGGTGGTGCGAGAGACCAAGTTCTGGCACGCGGCGGCGACGTGCGTGGAGGCAAAGGGCGTGAACACCTACGCGGTGGCCTTCATGGTGGGTTTCGTCCGCGACTTGGGCTACCGGAGGTTGATCCTTAAGTGCGACAACGAGGCGTCCACCAAGGCGCATCAGAAGAAGGTTGAGGAGAGCGTCGTCGGCGTCGAGATCGTGCCTCAGGGGCCGCCTGAAGGAGACCACCGAGCGAATGGTCTGGCGGAGGTGGCGGTGAGAGAAGTCAAGGGGATGTGTCGCACGCTGCGCGTCGCCATGGAGCTGAAGAGAGGGGTGAGAGTTGAGGACGACCACCCCATTCTGAGCTGGCTTCCCAGGTACGCCGCGCCGCCGCGCAGGCGATTAGCAAGATGCGGATCGGGTCTGACGGCAAGACCTCGGAGCTGAGGAGGACCTGGCCGCCGGTTGCGCAAGCCGTTGGCGCAGTTCGGCGAGAAGGTTTGGTTCCGCCGCATCGGAAAGGACGGAGGCAGCAGCTACGCCAGCAGGATGACTCAGGGCAGGTTTGTGGGCCACCACGACCGGACTGGGGCAACGTTGTGCACGACGGACAAAGGAGTGGTTCATGGCAAATCGTGGACGAGGCAGACTTTCGAGGATGCGTGGGACAGAACTGGCTGGGACGACATGTGTGGGACGCCCTGGGAGATGGCGGCCAAGGAGAAGAAGCTGGAGAAGAAGGTGACCGCGGACAAGGAGGGTAAAGGAGAGCCCCTTCCGATTCCACCGGCGGGGGAAAGGGCGCCCGAGGTTGCGCCGAGAAGATTCTATGTCTTGACCGCGGACATTGAGGCTCATGGAGCGACGCCCAACTGTCCAGGATGTGAGTCGATTGACATCCATGGCAGAGCAAAGAGGACGCACAGTGATGAGTGCAGAGAGCGGATCCGAGAGTTGCTGGAGAGGAGCCTGGAAGGACGCGCGAGGATGGATGCCTACAGGCAGCGGGTGGCAGCCCACCCGGCAGGTCCAGCAGTAGAGGCTGCAGCAGGACCTGCGGCGCAGCCTGCGCCGGCGGGCGAAGGAGACGCACAGATGCGCGCTGGAGGAGATGGCGACGGACGCGTCGCGGGAGAACGGCAAGAGGCACGAGAGGTGCCGCGAGTGACGCTTCGAGCGCCGCAGGACGTGATCGAGGCGAAGAGGCGAGCTGGAGATCCTGAAGGGGAGCGACCCGGCCCGAGAGCTAAACCAACTCGGGGCACGAAGGGCCCGAGTGGAGGAGGAGGAGAGCCAGCGGCGAAGGAGCTGAGCGGGGGGCAGAGTGCCTCCCCCACGCCTCCGAAGGGCTTGCCTCGCGGCTTGAAGGGCCCGAGCGAGGGAGGAGGAGAGCCATCGTCGAAGGAGCAGCGCACGGAGCCGGACGTTGAGGTTCAGGGAGTTCGTCTGCAGGGAGGTTCTTCGAGCTCGGCGGGGCCGTCCGCCGCGGATGGGCCTCCCGCCATCGCTGGGCCGGCCGCGACAGCCGGGCCGGCAGGAGGAACGGCGCCCCGAGTTTCTGGAGCGGGACATGTCGACGCAGATGTCCCCATATCGGCCATGGATCTGGTGGCGCCGATGAGAGGTCAGGACTCGAGGTACATGCAGGAGCTTGTGAACTGGCACAGGTTCGACGAGATGGGCGACCTGGACATTAAGGAGCGGGATGAGCTGAAGGGCGAGCTCGTGGCGCTGAACGCGCTGGACTTCGCGGAAGCTGGCACTGAAGACGCTGATGTGGATCTGGGAGCAGTGGACGCGATGGAGATTTTTTCGCCGCCGAGGTTCACGGAGGCGGCGAAGAGACATGGACTCAGACCTGGCGTAGCAGTGGATCTCTCTACGCGCAGGCCGAGCGATGGAGTCGGCTGGGATCTACTGCGCACGGGGGACCAGGCGGAGCTGGACGATATCATTGAGAGGGACCAGCCCTGGCTGCTCACGGGAAGCCCGAGGTGCGACCCGTTCAGCCAGCTGCAGTACCTGAACAGGACCACGACCGACGAGAAGGTCAGGGCCGAGAGACTTCGAGACGGACGTGAAGGGCTGCAAGTTGCGATCAAGGCGTACAACAAGCAGCATGATGCCGGGAGGTACTTTCTTCACGAACACCCGGCGACGGCGACTTCTTGGAGGGAGCAGGGCATGGAGGAGCTTATGTCTCGCGAGGGCGTCTACTACGCGCAGGGGCCGATGCGTCGGCACGGGTTGCAGTTGCCGGAGAAGTACCGGGACGAGAGTGATGGCGTCCCCGAGTCGTGCGGAAGGAGAGTGGCTTCGTCACCAACAGTGAGGAGATCTGGCACGAGCTGAATGGCAAGTGCTCCAATCTGGTTGGGGGCGATCTTCATCGACACACCGAGCTCAAGGGCGGAGTGGCGCACTGTGCGGCGAAGTACCCTCCGAGGTTCGTCAGTGCTGTGTTGAGGGCGCTTCGGAGGCAGCTGAAGAAGGATGGAGAGCTCAACGCAGTGGAGGAGATCGCGGGGCCGGTTCCCGAGATGCCGACGGAGTACAAGGAGATGCTCGAGAGTGGTGGAGGCTTCTGGGATGATGTCAATGGTGGTTTTCTTCCGTCAGATAAGGTTCTGGCGGCGCGCCAGGAGGAGATCGGCTGGATCCACGGCGAAGGGGTCCACGACATTGTTCCGGAGCAGGAGGCTCGAGATGCAGGAGTACGACCACTTGACGTCCTGTGGTTGGACACGGACAAGTCCATGGATCCGAATGAGCAGAATATCAGATCCAGGCTGTGCGTGCGCGAGTTCAAGACGAAGAAGGACGGCAAGGTCCAGTGGGCACTACCGGCGGCGCAGCTGTTCTCTGCGATGCCGCCGCTGGAGGCCGTGAAGGTGCTCGTGTCCAGGATGATGACTGGCGGTGTTGCCAAGTCAGGCAAGCGCTTGAAGTTAAGGCACTATGACATCTCCAGGGCGCACTTCATGGGCAAGGCGCAGAGGTTGGTCTACGTTAGGCTTCCAGCCGAGGATCGCCAACGCTATGGCGAGAAGATACAGGGGCGATTGGTGAAGTCGATGTACGGCACCCAGGACGCTTCGCATCTTTGGCAGTTGGACTATGTGGACTGGTGCTGCTCGAGCGAAGGTGGTTTCAAGAGGGGCAAGCGCAATGCGGCCTTGTTCTTCAACCCGGCTGGTGACATTCGCATGGCAGTCCATGGGGGCGACTTCGTAGTGTTGTCGGACGTAAATGGACTGGAGCACGTCGACAAGTTGTTGTCTTCGAAGTACCCGAGCAAGCTGATGGGCACCCTGGGCTTCGATGGGGGTGACAACGAGAGTTTGCAGCTGCTCAACAGGATCGTGAGAAGAGGCAAGGACACCAGGGGCGAGTACATCGAGATCGAGCCCGATCCGAGGCACGCGAAGATGATCTTGGCGGAGACCGGTTGCACGGAGGCCACAAAATCGGTCAGCACGCCGAGGGAAAAGCTCAAGGACACGACGGTTCTCGAGGGGATCAAGGGCTAGAAGCTGATCGCGAGCGAGACTACTCGCTACCGGTCGGTGTGCATGAGGCTGAGCTACTTGGCGCAGGACAGGCTGGACTTGGTGGAGAGAGCGCGAAGACTTCGGCGCAGCGGATGGCTGGGCCGACCGAGTTCGACTGGCAGGCGCTGAAGAGGGTTGCTCGTTATCTGGCAGGCAGACCGAGAGCTTCGATCCGGTACCGCATGCAGGCGCCGGTGAACAAGATCGAGGTGTACGTGGACAGCGACTTCGCAGGAGATCCCATCACCAGGAAGTCAACGACAGGACTGGTGGCCATGGTGGGATCGCACCTGATCAAGGGCAGCAGTACACTGCAGAGCCTCACCTCCCTGAGCGTCGGCGAGGCGGAGTTCTACGCGGTAGTCAAGGGAGGTGCGGTTGCGTTGATGTTGAAGGCCATCTACGAGGACTTCGGCGACCACATGGAGGCTCTGGTGCTAAGTGACAGCACCACCGCGGGGAGCCTGGCAGATCGTCTGGGAGTTAGGCAAAGGACCAAGCACATCCAGGCGAGGTTCCTTTGGGTCCAAGAGCGGGTTCAAGACCGGGACCTGAAGGTGCAGAAGGTTCACACTTCGAGGAACTTGGCGGACTTGGCGACCAAGCCGGTGAGCGGAGTTCTTCTTGAGAGACATTGTCAATCTGCAGGACTTCTATTCTCATCGAGGTGACCGGGATCGCCGCGCTCCACTACCGAGTGAAAGCCGGTTCTCACAGGTGTCTTCTTACGCTAAGCTGTTTCAAAAGATTTGAAACTTGTGCATCTTACACTTCCTGTGAGGGGTAGGCTTCTCGGTGCGAGCGCTAATGAAACTTGCGAGTCGAATTCTTTCAAGCTTGGATTTGCTCGTCCAGTCCCCGGCTCAACCCGAGCCCCGGCCGAGAGGAGGAGTGTTTAATTCCCGGTCTGGTGTGTATTAGCACGGTGTTGCAGGAGTAGTGGTGTGAGCTATGTCCCGGGAGTGCCTGTCTGTTGCAGAGTGCAGAGTAGGCTCGCGAGAAGCGTCTCGATAGGAATCGTGATCCGTAGGCCATTTGGGCCCGAGGGAGCTCGCGCGCTTCTTGAAAGATCATCGATCCACAAAGGGATATTCAATCTTCAATATATAGAGGGATCTGTAGATACATTGGTACTGTATAAATATGTGTATATATATCCACATATATGCATATATATATATGTCCCGGTGGTGGTCCCGATGGTTCCCCCGATGGTTCTCGATGGTCGTCCCGATATATAGATATATATATAAAATCTACACACATATATGTGTATATTATGTGTATATGTATGTGCGTTTAGATAGATAGCTATGTGTAGGTTTCATTGATATCGGGATCGGTATGCCGTTATAGTGATAATTCTACAGATATACACTATTATATAAGTACTGTATATAAATATATAAGTAGCTCACATCTATCAATATATATATATATACATATATGTTCATGTGAACGTCTATGGGAATACGTGAAAATATGTGTGACAAATGCTATATGCGCGCATGTATGTATGTGTATGTATATATATATATATACATATATAAATATATATATATATACATATATATATGGTAGCCCCCCCCCCCCCCCCCCCCCCCCCCCCGCGCACCCCGCCGATTCATGTTTCTGAAAATCTTGTTTTGAAAAAGCGTTGGTGCGTTTGCTTTCAATGGTTTCGCTGTTTCAAGGCGCGCTGCACTTGGAAATCCGGCCGAGGAGGATTACAATGGGATTCTTGCTAAAGGATCCCAACCGGATTTCTTTAAAGCTGCTTTGCCCTTCGCGAAAGGGCAAGGAAACAGAGCGCCAACAAAAGCGCGAAACCCAACAACCACAAGGCGAAAATCAACAAAATTCGTAGCAAAGGCACACAAACCAACAAAACCAATGGTTTCCAATAGTTTTCCATTGAACACATTGCAGAACCATTTGTTTTCATTATTCTTCAGGCTGGAATCTATGGAAAACAAATGGTTTCTTTGGTTTCTGAATGAAAATATTTTGTTATACCAAAAAATGGCACATTGATTTCCAATGCAAAACTTAGAACGCGCTTGTTTTTTCCATTGGTTCCAGCTGGACAAATAATGAAAACAACTGTTCTTTCAATGTTTTGAATGGACAACGATTTAGAATAGTTGGTGTTGTTGGGTTGCCTGCGTTGGTTATTAATGTTGTTGGGTTTCGTGTTTTTTTTTGGGGGGGGATTTCGCGTTTGTGTTGGTTTTCTGCTTTTGCCCCGTGGCCTGCGGTTGCCCTGTTAGCAACGGAGGAGGGTGCGAAACCAGAAAACCAACAAAAACACGAAACCCAACAAACGCAAAACGAAAACCCACAGAATTGATAACCATGGCAGAACACCCAACAAAACCAATGGTTTTCAATGGTTTTCCATTCGCAACATAGCAAAACCACTGTTTTTCATGATTTTTCAGGTTGAAGCAAATGGAAAACAAAGGCTTTCTTTGGTTTCTGAATGAACATTGAAAACAATGTGTGTTCATTGGCTGCCAATGCAAAAACCTATGAAAAACAATGGTCTTCCAATGGTTTTATTCAGAAACCAAAGAAAGCATTTGTTGTTCATTGGTTGCGCCAGTGGAGCTATTGAGAACCAATTGTTTTTCATTGTTTTCAATGGAAGACAACTGAAAATTTTGTTTTTGTAGTTTAGTTGTTTTTCTCTTCCCTTTTCTTTGGTTATTAATTTTGATGGTGTTCGTTTGGTTTGCGTTTGGTTTAGTGTGTTTGTTGTTGTTGTTTTTTTTTGTTTCCCCCATGGGCTTGCGGCTGCCTTGTTTGCAACGGAGGGTGGCGAGACACCAGGGAACCAACAAAAACACGAAACCCAACAACAACAAAGCGAACACCAACAACATTAGTAACCAATGCAGACAAACCAACAACACTTATTGTTTCAGTTGTTTCCATTGAAAACAGTGCAACATCACTTGTTTTCATTATTTTTTCAGGCTGAAGCAAATGTAGAGATGTGCCTTCATTGGTTCCTGAATGAAAACGCTGACAAATACTTGGTTTCCATTGATTTCCAATGCAAAACCTGTGAAAACAAGATGGGTTTCTATGTTTGCCTTCAGAGACAAATGGAAACTATTGATTTTCATTGATTCCCGCTTGAGAAATAATGAAAACGAGTGTTTTTTTCCAATGTTTTGATCGGAAAGCTGTTGGGAACAATTGGTGTTGTTGGTTGTCTTCCTTGGTTATTATGTTTGTTGGTTTTCGCTTTGTTTTTGTTGGGTTTCGTGGTTTTGTTGGCTCTCTGCTTCTGCTCATCGCCCTGCGGTTGCCCTGTTAGCAACTGGGGGGGGGGGGGGGGGGGGGGGGGGGGGCAGAAAACCAACAAACACACGAAACCCAACAAATGCAAGCGAAAACCAACACTATTAATATCCAAGGCAAACACATCAAGCAAAACCAATGGTTTTCAATCGTTGTCCATTGAACACATTGCAAAACCATTTGTTTTCATTCCTTTTCAGGCTGCAGCCAATGAAAAACAAACGCTTTCTTTGGTTTCCAAATGAAAACCTTGAAGAACATTTTGTTTTCATTGATTTCCAATGCAACACTTATGAACACCAGTGGTTTTTCAATGGTTTCCTTCAGAACCAAAAGACAACATTTTTTTCTTCTTCGGCTTCAGTAGTGGAACTATTGAGAACAAATTGTTTTGCAATGTTTTCAATGGGGAATTATTGAAAACCATTGGTTGTGTTGGTTTCCTGCTTTGGTTATTAATTCTGTTGGTTTTCGTTTTGATTGTGTTGGAGTTTGGTGTTTTTGTTGGCGTTCTGCTTTTGCCCATGGGCCTGCGTTTGCCCTGTTAGCAACGGAGGAGGGTGAGAAATCAGAAAACCAACAAAAACACGAAATCCAACAAAAACAAAGCGACAGCCAACGCAGTTAATAACCAGTGCAGAAAAAAACAACAAGACCTATTGTGTTCTGTAATTTTCCATTGGGAACATTCCAAAACAAGTTGTTTTCATTATTGTTCAGGCTGGAATGAATGAGTAACAAATGCTTTCTTTGGCTTTTGAACGAAAACACGGGAAAAAAACAAATGGTTTTCATTGATTTCCAATGCAAAGCCTATGCAAACAAATTGGTTTTCCATTTTCTCTTTCAGAAACCAAAGAAAGCATTTGTTGTTCATTGATTCCAGCTTGAGAAATAATGAAAGCAATGTTTTTTTTTTCAATGTTGTGAATGGAATACTCTTGGGAACAATTGGTGTTGTTGTTGTTTTTGTTCCTGCCTTGGTTATTAATTATGTTGGTTTTCGCTTTGTTTTTCTTGGATTTCGTGTTCTGTTTTTTTTTTCCGCGTTTGCTCAATGGTTTGCGGTTGCCCTGTTAGCAACGGAGGAGGGTGAAAAACCGGAAAACCCAACGAAAACACGAACTCCAACACAAACAAAGCGACAACAAACAAAATTATCAACCAATAGAGAAGAACCAACAAAACCAATGGTTTTCAATAGTTTCCATTGAAAACATTGCAGAACCGCTGGTTTTCATTACTTTTCAGGCTGAAGCCAATGAACAACATATGCGTCCTTTGGTTTCTGAATGAAAACATTGAAAACAATTGGTTGTCATTGATTTCCAATGCAAAAACTTATGAACACCAATTGGGTTTAAATGTGTTCTTTTGCTTCGATTCGCGTTTTCTGCGTCGCTTTTGTATGTTATCGCTTTTGTATGTTATCCTATGCCATCTACGTCAATATTGGTGCTACGAATGCATTGTGCATGGCACTCTGTGGGCGCATCTGCAGCCCGTGAGCAATCGCATTCCGTGCGTGCAATGACGAGATACAAATAGCGGTTCACATGCAGGGTCCAACCGGACAGGTGACAGACAAGTAAGCCGTCATTAACGACCACCCATCCAAACAGACATGGCAATCTTGATTATAGCTCCGCCCTCTCGTCGAAGGTGGGGTGCTGGGGGGGGGGGATGCTAACATATATATATATATATATATATTGTATATATGTATAGAAATATATCGACAATCAGCTACATGTACAACTAGATATAGCATTATATATATATACAGAGAGAATCATACATCATTCGATGTATCGAACACTTGTCAATTTAATGAATATATATATATATATATATATATATATATATATATATAAGTATAATATGATAGTTACGTGTTGTAAATACAGTTGCTTTGATCGATACATCTATAGATATACATATATCTATATGTCTATATAAACATATATGTATATGTATAACTGTATCCATATAGTTCAACATACAATCGTGTATGCACATGCATATAGATAAACCGTGTTGTCTATATATACGTATATATATATGGATATATATAGAGTTAGCAAATATAGATGGACCGATATTACGAGATACATGTATACAACCATATGTATGGATATATCAATAAGTATATAAACACTTACATATACAGACACGTAGACCTGTATATGTACACATAAATCGATATACATGTATATATGTAGTTCGATTGATAATTATATACGCACTTAAACCGATACTTGGAAAACAATGCATATACAACGATAGTTAGGTAGGTACATCGGAGGTTGGGGGGTGAGATCGAAGTGGAACGGAGAGCCCCCCTTACCAGGACATCGATTTCGGTTTCGTGTTCGTGCGTGCCGTGCGGGCGAGGCGAATCTGCGTGGGCGGGCGAGAGGAAAGTCTCCTGTGGCTGAGGCGCGGCCGGACCACATGATTCTCCGCCGGGCGGCCGGTGGCGCGCGGTGTCCCGCCGGTGTCCCGCCGGTGTCCCGTGTGGCTGAGGCGCGGCCGGACCAAATGACTCCGTTCCGGGCGGCCGGGGGCCCGCGGTGTTCCGCCGGTGTCCCGTCGGTGCCCCGTCGGTGTCCCGATAATGATGATGTTGATGATTATCATGATGGTTGTGTTGATGGTGATGATGATGACGATGATGGTGTC